TCCCGCGACTCTCTGCAAAACCGCTAACCCCTGACTGTGTGCAACATTGAGTGCAAATGTTGCATCGCATTCCAGTGCTAATGAAATGGAAAGTGTGAGATTTATCTGATGGGCGCGATAGCAGCGGGCGCGGCGTCAGCTAAGGCAATTAGTGACTCTGGGCCAACAGACGCCTCGGGGCTTTAGGGGGGGAGGGGGTTGTTTCTCGGATTACCCTCAATTTCCTGCTCTTCATCCGCGACCGATTCGCTCGTGCTCTCTGACACACCGAGCAGCAATTATAATGCAGTCATAAAACAGAGCGCGTCCCCCTTGTTGTAAAAGAAGCAGAAGTTTGAGGTAAACATCACACAGTCTTTTCGTACCAGAGTTGGCGATGTATCGCTCTGTTGGCTCAATTTTCCTAAGCGTGTTTATTTAGAAAGCTTTAATGGGCTTGAATGGCCGAGTGGCTAGCGCTCTGGCGTTCGGTACCGCATGTTTTGGGTTCGAGTGCCGGCGGTGCCATGGATGCTTGTAGCGGTTCGGATTCCACTTTAAGCCGTAGGTCCCGGTCTCCTATGACTGTAAGAGCGTTACGAAGCAAAAGTCAGACTTCTACCTACGGATGCTCCATCACAACAGAAGCTGCCCCCTTTCCCTCCATCCATGAGTAGATCACTCATGGGATGTCCGTCCCGCACTGCAGGACACTGAGGATTAGTCAACAACAATAGAGTTTTTGCATACCGCACGTTAGGAAAAGGATTACCGTAGGACGTCCGTTAGCTTTTCTCCCTAGCGCGCATGCTCATAGGAAATTATGTTTCCTATGAGCATGCTAGAGCTAACGTACGGTATGCAAAAACTCTCTATTGTTGTTGACTAATCCTTTCCTATGAGCATGCACGCTAGGGAGAAAAAGCTAACGGACGTCCTACGGTAACTAACGTACGGTATGCAAAAACTCTCTAATGTTACGAAGTGATTCTGAATATTCTGAGAAATTCCTCTTCTTAAGGCGCGGCCTGATGGCCAATTGGCTAGCGTCCAAGAGAACCATTGGTGGAATCCGTTGCAGTCACTGCTTTCAGTAACGGTGAGACTCGATGACCGCTGTGATAACACATATGAACGTCTCGCATCGACGATTAGATTGATGGGTGAAGTTTTTCTTCCTTATGGCACAAAAATGTGTTACCCCTTTTGTAACATTCGGGTACACATGAGGGACACATCGTAAAGATGTCGTGTGAAGATCATCATAGATGTATGTCATGACTTCAAACCGATAATGATATTTTCTCTCACAGCAGAAAGCGGCCTGATGGCCAATTCGCCAGCTGTATGACCTTTGGTAATACAGCCTTCAGGCTCGAATCCTGGGCATGGCATGGATGCTTGTTCGTGGTTCGGAATCCATGTTAAATAGGTCTACAGTCTAATGAGCCCAAAGTGTGCTCAAAATGACCGTAGAGCGACAAACAAAACCAATCTTCTAAAAGTGTACATTTAAATATGTGCTTCTTCTTCATCATCTTCGTTGGCACAACAGCCTCATGGTGGGCTAAGGCCGTCTGCATGCTATCAACTTTCGACAGGGGATATGTTTACTTTTTACAAGGCAAAGTTGTCATCCATACACCCAACGTCCCTATATCTACAGACTGACGGCCGAGTGGCTAGCGCTCTGGCGCTCGTTACCACAGGTTTCGGGTTCGAATCCGGCGATGACATGGATGTTTGTAGGGGTTCGAATCCACTGTAAACCGGTGGTCTCAACTTAATATGACTGTAGAGCGCCACAGAGCCCAATCCGACTTCTTCTCCCCACATCATTCCCAAACTGTATACGGGGAACTTAGCTCTAGGCACAGTGACGTGGTGTGGTGTGATGTAATAGTCATATTAGACAGGGACCTCAGGATTAAAAGTGGATTCCGAACCACTAACAAGCATCCACGACACCTCTGGGTCTCGAACCCGAAACCTGTGATACCGAGTGTCAGATAACGACGTGCTTACTAAAGATAAATACATACTAGAAAAAGTTCTATTGCTTATAACTATTTTAACTACTCTGCAACTCTCATTTTGTATGATTTGGTTTGTCGCTCTATGGTAATTTTTTACGGTAATTACACCACGATCTACAGTTTAAAATGGATTTCAAACCACTCATAAACATCCCAGCCACCGTCGAACCTGAAGTCTGGGGTACCAATGGGCAGAGTGCTAGCTAATTGGCCATCAGGCCCCTTCACTTTGTATGAAAAAGAATAAAACATTAGACAAAGTTCATATAAATGAATAGTTTATTTTTTAATCATTTAGGGAGGGATATGTATTTCAAGTATTTCAGCCCAACCACATCCAGTTACAATCCCAACCTGCACGTTACAATATTACATAATGTATGCAGGAATAACAAAAATATTTTTTTTTTTGTTCTAATGTAGCTGGCAAACACTTAGACAGCTTGGTCTTTGGATGCCTTAAGGCAAAAGCGCTGCACAGATGTTACTCACTTTGCATTACCCAGGGGGCGCGTGTAACTTGAAGATAAAACCACGAACGCGGAGTCATAATGCTCCCGCAACGCTCTACGATCCTATTAGACCTATATATATATATATTTTTAAATGTGAATTTTAATTAAGTTCATAAAATTGTAATGAGCAAAGGACAAATAAGACAGTGGTCTTTTTTAAGAACATCAAAATTTATTTTTTGCCTAAGGCTCAGGTACATTTAGAAATTTAAATCTATTGAAACTAGAACAATGCGATATTTGACTTATCTATTATAACATATTTTTGAGAAATTTGTGTATATATAGTGTGCCTATAATTATTTGTAGGATTTTAAGCGAACCCCGACAAAAAAAGACCACTGATTTAGCTTGGAATTCGATTTGAATTTCGATCTGCCTGATTCAAGTCATCCACAATTCACCATCAACATCATGTCGAGGTCATGTCAAGATCAAGCCATCCACATAGCGTGTTGAGGAGTGAAGAAGACATTTCAATCTTACAAATATGAGACAGGGACCCTAAGGTTTAAAGTGGATTCCGAACCACTCCAAACATCCATGGCACAGCCGGGACTCGGACTCGAACTAGAAACCTGTGGTACCGAGCGAAAGAGCGCTAACCACTCGGCCATTCAGGCCCCATAACAAAAATAATTGTTTAGATGAAATTTGTTTTTTATTTTCATGAATAAATATCTGTACTCACTTGTACTCGGGCTTCGCTCAGGTTGACCTTCCTGGCCAATTCCTCCCTGACGAAGGCGTCCGGGTAGTGCGTCCGTTCGAAGATTTTCTCCAGAGCGTTCAGCTGATGAGTGGTGAAGGTGGTCCTGTTTCTCCTGGGCTTCTTTCTGCTGTTCTCTCCTTCCTCATCTGTTGGAAACAAAAGAGAAATTTAATACTGGATAAAAATCAGAATCCTAGAAGCAGTGCATTATTCAGTTTATATTAGAACAGGGGTCTCCAAACTTTCTAGCCTTTGGGCCATACTTTTTACTCCAGTAAGTACCGCGGGCCAAAACCGTTTTCATTTTTCTGCCATTATCTATCATTTCCAGACTAGTCGCCGAGTACGCGCTCTGAGCTTGCTCCGCGCTTGCTAAAATTCGCTTCATTCTCCAAAATGAAGTACACAAAGAATGCTTACAGATCTAAGTTAACCGATGAGCATCTTAAATCTCTTTTAATAATTAGTACAAGTAAAATTGATCCGCTATTGTCAGTGAAAAATCACAATTACATAAATCTCATTAGTATTTTTTGCAAGTGGATACCCCGCGGTTTCATTCGCGTTCATTTAGCTCTTCCGTTCCTGAAGGATTTTCGGGATAAAAATCATATGTTTGATTCAGGATATATACATTCCAAACATCGATATACATACATATGCGATACTCTTTACCCCAACATAACTACCGAGGGTAACCGCGGGATGTTCACTAGTTCAAGATGTTAGTGGGATTCCTTTCAATTATTTGTTAGTTGTTATGCTTAAGTTAAACTTTCTGCGTATTATGCTTGCCATTAATCTATACCTAGCAAGTCAATAAAACCGAGTTATTATCATTCTGTGTTTTTTCATCCAACTTATTATAGGAACAAATGCTATTCGCTGTCGCGGGCCGGATGGATGACACTGGTGGGCCGGATGTGGCCGCGAGCCGTTGTTTGGAGATCCCTGTATTAGGACATAGGGCCTAGAATTAAGAGGCGCACTTATATCATGTTTAGCCTAAAGTGTGCACAAAATGAGCATAGAGCGACAAATCAAACCAATTCATAGTTTGTGCATGCAATTTAATTCTTTCCGTTCCAAATGCTTCCAAACAGAAAAAATTATTTCATGGCCAACCTCTTCCTTGAAATCGTTTGTCACGGTTTCGGTTTGCCGCTCTACAGTCATTTTGTGCACATGCAGGCTAAACAGACCGGAGCCTACAGTTTAAAGGGGATTCCGAACCACTCACAAACACCCATGCCACCGCCAGGATTCGAACCTGGAGCCTAGGATTCCAAAATACCAGAGCGCTAGCCGCGAAATCGAGTCTCACACCAATTCCAAAACGACTCGAACTGAAACCTGTGGCACCGAGCACTAGGCACTCGATCATCAGGCCCATCCCATAGAAATCCCATATCCCATAAAATTCCCATTTTTATCCCATTTATATCCCATAGAAATAAAGTAAATCTGTTGTTGTTGCTGTTGTTGTTTCTTATCCCACTTGGCAGGCCAAGCCCACACGTACTCATGATTGAAGTGGAAGGAAGCAGCTTCTGTTCTGATGGAGCACCCGTAGGTAGAAGTCTGACTTCTGCTCCGTGACGCTCTTACAGTCATAGGAGACCGGGACCTACGGCTTAAAGTGGATTCCGAACCACTACAAACATCCATGGCACAGCCGGGATTCGAACCCGAAACCTGTGGCACCGAGCGCCAGAGCGCTAGACACTCGGCCATTCAGGTCCCAAATGTGTGAATGCCAACGGCACGCGGTGTTCCCAGGTGGTCACCCACCCAACTACTGACCGCATCCAATGATGCTTGACTTCGGTGATCTAACGAGAACCGGTATATTCAGCATGGTACGGCCGTTGGCTAAAGTAAATCTAAATAATATAAACAAAGCGCTTCGTCTCTGAATGCAAGAATTTTTTTCAATCACATAAAAAGATAAAAAAAAATTCCCGGCGTGCCATGGATGTTTCTAGTAGTTTACAACCCACTTCAAAACTGTAGGTCCCGGTGTAATAGATGGTAAAACGTTGCCTTGAGGTTGAGTCAGTCTTCAGCCCTCGTAGTTCCTCGCTAAAGTGAAGTTGCATATTACCCTTAGCCACGGACACTCGCCTGCGACGGGATTTATTGGACCTGGTGCAGGTTTTCCTGTACCAGGGAGATTAGTAACAATAACAACAGATAAAAAAATAATAGAGAAAATAACTAATTTATTCGATCCTAATCGGGGATGTTTTTAAATTATTCCTTGCAATTTATAAACTCCATCCATATAAAAAATTAATGTTAAATTTTTATCCATTTGTAAACATCAACGTACGATGCAAGTCGTATTTACTTTCTTTTCTAAAAATATAGCTCTTTTCTATCATCTACAGTTTATACAAATATATTTCATAATATTTAAAAAATTGTTCATTTTTTTTTTTTTTTTTTTTTTTACCGTTACTTACATCAAAAAGCTTTTTAATCAGCAATTTCTTAGAATCCATTTTACCTGAAATTACTAGGGGTTTTAGATGTCCACACATAGTGACTTATGCCGTTTCTTATCCCACTAGGTCGACAGCAACATCTAGACCCAGTCCAAGAACCCGTGTGGTCTTACGAAAGGAGAGTAAGGGGGTAAGAGCGGCAGCTTCTGTTGGGATAGAGCAGCCGTAGGTAGAAGTCTGACTTGGCTTCTTGACGCTGACTTTTTTTTACGAGGTAGGGTTGTTAGCCCAACGCTTAGCAAAGTCCTATTAGACCGGTACCTGTGGCTTAAAGTGGATTCCGAATCCTACAAACATCCATAGGACTGCCGGGACTCTGACCCAAAATCCGTGTTAAAAAACGCCCACTCGGCCTTTTATATTGACTTATTAATTTAATTTATTATTTATTATATTTACCACAAGTTTCGGGTTCGAGTCCCGGCAGTGCCATGGATATTTGTAGTGGAATCCACTTTAAACTGTAGGTCCAGTCTAACATGACTGTAAAGCGTTGGGCATAGGCTTACAGCCCTACCCCGTAAAAAGAAGACATCCCCTGTCTCGAAATCTGCCAGTTGGCCCATCATGGGTCTATTGTGCAAATGACGCTGATTGATTATATTATTAATATATGTAATTAAGTTCATGTTAAGAGGTTAACTTTTTGTTCACCTCGCTACTGGTATTCTTCTTTTTGTTAATAACAACAACAAAAAAGAAATGTTTACATCAACGGAAATGTGGGCGGGGTCTGTTGGCTTAGTCTATCACAGGAAACACCATTTTTTACATTCTTGTGTTAGATTAAAGCAACATAATCCACTGACATTCAAAAACAAACACGAATAGTGTGCAACTGATGATAATGAATATCATTTTAATGGATATGTACACAATTACAAACAAAATTGCATTTCCATCAGTTGTATACATTCATCAGTAAATCCTGTTGCCATTTAAATCAAAACAGCACATAATCATCTGCAAGAAAAGCATCTCGCGTAGAGTGTAGAATTACCACAGAGATATATGACCGAAAACTTAAAATTAAGAGATATATAAGCCGAAACGCTTCTAAAACGCGATAATTGGCTTTATAAAGTAAACAGCATGGAAGCCACACAAATTGTTTGTGTTTTTAGTAACCAGATACGCTTCCATTTGCCGTTTTATCAACTGGACTGTGTGGTGGCAACGCAGATTAGAACCTCATTTAATTGCTGCACTCTCATTCAAAATATATGGCGGCGTGCATTTTATGTGGACGCATTCATTAACAAACAGGACTCCTTCCTACAGATGCAGAAAGGAAAATGAATCGCAGTGTCATTTAATGAATGCTCATGAAAAGAGTTCTAAACGGGGTGATTCAATGGTCGTGGAACACACTTTTGAGGTGTGGTACAGCTAATTAAAACAAGCATTTTTTTTTTATTATTATTTTTATTGTAGAGGAATGTAGGAGAGAAAGTGACACGTAGAGACACGAAACAAAAAAATGATACATGAAAAAGGAAAACATTATTTGTTTACAACATCATAGTAAAGAACTTCTTTGATTCAATGTTTACAATAATTGCTCATTATTGATACACTAACATTAACACATGCTTGGTAGCGTCGAAGATTTGGTTTGGTTTGATTTGTTTTGTCCCTCTACTGTCATTTTGTGCATACTATGGGCTAATTAGACCAAGACCTACAGTTTAATGTGGATTTTGATGGCCTATTGACTAGCGCTTTGACTTTCAGTACCTTCAGGTTCGAATCCTAGCTGTGGCATGGCTGTTTATCAGTGGTTCGGAATCCACGTTAAACTGTAGTCCCGGTCTAATTAGCTCACAGTATGCACAAAATGACCGTAGAACACCAACCGAATCAATTAACGTGGATTTCGAACTTCTCTTAAATATCCATGCCACCGCCAGGATTCGAACCTGAAGCACCAAAGGCGAGAACGTTAGTCAATTCGCCATCAGGCCGCAGAGTGATGGCCGAACGGAAGAGTATGGCCGTCGGAAGAGTGATGGCCGAACAGATGCCATTTCGCGCAATCTTGTACTACGACTATCTTGGTTTCTTGCGTTCGTGTAATTCAGTTAGAAATGTAATAGTAGTTTTTGGTTGGAGAAGTCTTTATCAATCAGTTCAGATATTTATTGAAGTTTCATTTATTTACATACAGTTAGTATTTACAGTATAGGGGTTCATCTTAGAACATAAAACCCATAGATACAAAAAGAATAGGAACTGTTTGTTGTGTTGTTTAATGAATGCACATAAAAGAATTCTAAACGGGGGGATTCAATGGTCCTGGAACACACTTTGAGGTGTGGTGCAGTTTATTAAAGACGCTTTTTTTTGTAGAGTCGAATGTAGCAGCGGATGTGATACGTTGGGACACGATACAAAAAAAAAAAATGATACATGAAAAGAAAATCTTGTTTGTTTTACAATATCATTGTAAAGAGTTTTTTTATTCAATGTTTACAATTGTAACACCAACAATATCACATGCTTGGTAGCTAGGATTGGCGAACAGATGTCATTTCGCCAAATTTGTATTACTACGACTATCTTGGTTTCTTCATATGCGTGGGTCAGTTAGTAGTCCAATCGTATCTTTCTGGTTCAAGTTTTAGTGTGTCGCTTTTAAAATCAGCTCTTTGCACACTTTAAACAAAAAACAGACTGAGACCTACAGTTTAAAGTGGATTCCGAACAACCCGCAAACATCCATGCCACCGCCAGTATTCGAACCTGACGTCTGTGGTAAAGGGGCAGAGCACTAGTCAATAGGCCATCAAAATCAGCGTAGGTCCCGGTCTAATTAGCCCAAAGTGTGCACAAAATGACAGTACAGCGACACCCAAGCTTTCGACATTATAAAGCACGTGTTAATGTTAGTGTACCAACAATGAGCATTTATTATAAACATTGAATCAAAAAGCTCTTTACATTGATGCAGTAAATAATGTTTTCTTTTCATGTATCATTTTTTGTGTTCGTGCCTCAAAGCAGCATTTCTGCTCTTGCATTCTTAAACTTAAAAAAAAATGTATGTTTTAATAAGCTGTACCCACCACTCAGAGTGTGTTCCACGACCATTGAATCATTCCGTGTAGAACTCTTTTTCATGTGCTTCATTAAATGACACTGCAATTCATTTTCCTTTTTCTGCATCTGTAGGAAGGAGTTCTGTTTCTTAATGAACGCGTCCACATGAATGCACGCCGCCATATATTCTGAATGAGAGTGCAGCAATTAAATGAGGTTCTAATCTGCGTTGCCACCCACACAGTCCAGTTGATAAAACGGCAAATGGAAGCGTATCTGGTTACTAAAAACACAAACAATTTGTGTGGCTTCCATGCTGTTTACTTTATAAAGCCAATTATCGCGTTTTAGAAGCGTTTCGGCTTATATATCTCTTAATTTTAAGTTTTCGGTCATACATCTCTGTGGTAATTCTACACTCAGATGCTTTTCTTGCAGATGATTATGTACAGTTTTGATTTAAATGGTAAACAGGATTTACTGACGATTGTATACAACTGATGGAAATGCAACTTTGCTTGTAATTATGTACACTGCCATTAAAATGATATTCATTATCATCAGTTGTACACTGTTCGTATTTGTTTGTTTGTTTTTTAATTGTCTATGGACTACGTTGTTTTTAATCTAACACAAGAATGATTAAATGTTTTGATGCTCAAGTGAAAAAATGGCGTTCCCTAAACTACAATATGACAACAGACCCCGTTGATATTTGCGTTGTTATATGCAATTCTTTTTTTTTGTTGTTGGAGATGATGATGTTAACAACAACAAAAGAATACGAATTGCATGGAGAACAAAAAATTAACCTTATAACATTAACTTAATTTAGTTATATTATTATATTAACTTAATTACTTATATTAATAATATAATAATTAATAAGTTAATATAACGATATATTTTATATATTATTATATTAACCTCTTAAGATGAACTTAGTTAGCAATTAACAACAAATTAATATCAATTTAATTTATAAGAAATAAAAATATATACACAAACAAACATTGTTTCTTTAAATGAGAATAGATATGACCCAATTTTATATAACTTCATTAAAAAACACGTTATTTGATTAGTAATATCAATGAAAAAATGAAGAGCTATAATTCAGAAAATTCAAAGTTAATTTCAACACATGAATTTAGAGAACTTCTATCAGAAAAGTGTTCGGATAAGAGACTTTTTTTTTTTATTTCACTATAAAAGAATTTAAAATTTCTTTTATTTACATCAATTATAGAATGTTTTTGCACATTTTTATTTCGATTTTGGGACTGTTCAATTCATGTTTAAAGTCCTACTTACTACTTCAACC